TTTGAACCCAGGTCTCTCACTTGTGAGGTGAGTGCTCTAACCATTGAGCTACAGGACTCCACTTAACTTGTAGCGTTTGGCCTCAACAGAGGACATAACATTTTGGTGACAAAATTTAGCAATGGAAAAGATAGGAGAGCTCTGTTAGAGAACTGAAAAGATTGTGAGGCGCGGAATAATTGAAGTAGGAACTATAAGTAAGAAGTGGTGGAGTTAAATTTGTCACCCAAATGACATTTATCACATTTAATTGGCTTGGACTCTCCTCCCATCCTCTCCTCTTCCAAACAGCATTTTTAATGATCAAGTCTAAGAAGTCAGGTGAGTGGTGTTGAACTTTCGGTTTTCCGATTGTGGTCTTTGACTGCTGGTTAGTGTGATATTATCCATCTAGTAACCAAATCATCTAAAAAAAAGTATCCTACTAACTAATTGCCAAAATCTGCAAGCCCAACTTCACATTTACAGCTTCTCCAATTTGACCATTCAGAACAACGTGGAGGGTTTTCCCCTCCAAACCATTTAACATAAGAAACAGCTGGCAGCTGAAATTGTTTCTTTGAAAATGTAACTGCAAGATTTTGATTTGCCCCATTGGAAGATCATTGGTTTAGTGATGTATTTGTTGCACTGAACTGGAGTGAAGAATTGATTTGGATGATGAGTGAAGATCACCAATATACGTAACAATTTGTTTAAATCTAAATTATGTTTATTGTCAGTTTGTGGCCTATTTAGACTATAATTGGACTCCAGCACTCACATAGTTAAACAAGTCAACTGCAACCGATACGTTTGGAATTTCTTCCGATACGATGCTATGCTTAAATTATTTTAAATGCTTCTAATGCAGTAAAGAGGGTTAATCTGGAGCACGACTACTAACTGTAATGAGAGATGACTGGGGCCCGGACTATCTTAGTTAAATAATAGGACGGAACAGATGCAGAATACATTTTGTTCAGAAAAATAAATCAAGTATCACATGTGATTTGAATTTTGATGAGTTACTGCTGATATATTAGCAAGAGTTTTTTTTAATCTCGTGATTGAATTTGGGGTATTTCTTTGCAGAATTCCTTAATACGAAATTATTGGTTAAGGAGCTCCAGACATTCATAGCATAGTGGCTGGGGACAACACAGCCACCAATTGTGAACTAGCAGGAACAAGGAACGTCTGAAGACCCAAGCCAGCTGAATGAAGCCAATGGGTAGAAGAGTGGGGTGCAAGGAGATCGAAGAGGTCGGAAATTGTCAGAGAGTGAAGAGATTCAAAAGTGAGAGTGAGGATCTTGAAATTGTTCCGTTGTGCAACAGTGAGCCAGTAGAGCCTGGCAAGAACTAGAGTGAAGGGGGTGCAGAGCCTGGGTGAGGACACAAGCAGTAGACTTTTCAATCATTTGAACCTTGTTAATGGTAGAGCTGGGAAGACCAGCGCAGAGTGCATTGAAAAAATCAAGGCGGGAGGTGATGATGAAAGCATGAATGAGAATTTCAGCAGTTATTTTGAAGAAAGATAGGGGCAAAGATTGGCAATGTGCTGGAAGTGGAGGAAGGCAGTCCTGGTCAGGGGTAGGATGTGGGGAAGGAAGGATAACTGGAGATCAAACCTGACACCAAGGTTGCCGACAAGTTTGGAGAGTCTAAGGGCTAAGCAAGGAAGATTGAGGTGTTCAGAGCCACAGGTAAGAAGTCATTAATAGGAGCCAAGAAGGATGGCTTTTGTCTTGTTCATGTTCAGCTGCAGAAAGTTGGCATTCATCCAGGCTTTGGCATCAGACATTCAAGCATTCAGAACAGCAGTAAGACTAGGGTTGCAATTGGAGGAGAAAAATAGATTTGGGTACCATCCCCATATTTGTGAATGATATCATTGAGAGAGAACATGTTAATGAGAAAAAGGGATCTGGAGCCTTAGAATAGAATCTATCTCCAGAGCAGAGTTTTCCAATCGGAATGGGAATTGTAACAGGAAGCAATCCCATTAATAAGCATCACAAATCAGACCACAGTGATGAAAAACCCTACAGTGTTATTGGAAAGGTTTGTTAAAACGAATTGATTAATTCTGCTTTTTTTGTTCTAGATGCTGGAACAGTGTGCAGTTTCACCATGGCATACAACTGTAATAGAATGGATACCTCAGCAAGCTGACCCTGCTTGTCGCTGAGAGCACATGAAACGTAGACTAATTGGGTTATTAATGGGCAAGTCACAGATTTTCTATTGTTTAATTAATGTTTCAGCAGACTCAGCGAATGCTGTTAACTCTATACTGTGTTTCAACAGCTGCATGAAAGAGACTGAATTCTAGACAATGGCACTGTATAGATAGGAAATACAGGAAGCTTCACTGCAAGAAGATACCTCATGAAGCTGACCCTTCTAGTCGCTGCTAGAGCACATGAGAAGTGGACAAATTGGGTTATTAATGTGCATTGTGTGGTTTGATCTGGAACGTTGACGTGTCAAGGCAAGATCCCTTTTAATTTATTTCACGAACATAAATAACTCTTGTGACACCTCTCCAGTCACGCCTTGTCAAGGTCTACCAGCCCAGCCAAATCTCTTCAATATCGCAGTAGACAGGTGCATTTAAGATTTCAAACTTCATAATAATTTAATAGGCCAAGATTATTTCATAGTCGGAGACTACTGTGGCAAGGGTGGAATTTTAAGAAGAAGGCAAAAGTATTGCTCCCTGTGACTTCACCACCAGGTAGATACATGTAGCAAGAATTGTCAGAAGTTTCACAATGTTGTGGATAGCCAACAACAATACGGTTATTTTGCTGGGCAATATTATATAATTCGCTTAGTTATTGATGGCAATTGGATTTATAAACTTCTACAGTAAAAAAAATACAACTTATGCCATTCCCTACACTACACTCAGTTCAAAGAAGGTCAGTGGATGACATGGATCAATGGGTTTGGTTCTTGAACGTTTGGGAGTTCACTTAATTTATAGTTCTTTTTTATAACTTTCCCTTAATGTTGCCATTAAAAGTTTTCTTGTCCAAGAGTTGTCATACAGCTTTTATTCTTGGCACATGAAGTACTGCTTTGTAGTTCCTCCATTGATGTGCGGTGCAGCATTTCCTTGCTCATGTCACAAGACCAAGATTGTTGCCCATTTCTCTTTCACTTCCTCCAAGTCGACTTGAAAGGCATGTCATCATCTATAACCCACAGATTCCATCCATGTTGAGTCAGCTATGCTTTGCCTTACTCACAAAGCATTAAAAAACATAAATGCAATGCTTATTAACCACATTTTTGAAGCTAATGTGAAGCTATTTGGAAACGATACACAGTGAATGCAGATTTCCAAATTTAGTGTCAGTTAATTGAAGCTATGATAAGATCATTTTGAAGAGCTGGACACAGTGATTTTTCTTTTTTGGGGGTCAGACGAGTGTCTGACACGTGTGGAAACCCATCACTTTGCTTACGAGTATTCAAACCAAGCTGAGATTTCCATGCATCACACCTACACATGGAAATCCCAGAGATACTGTTGGAATGGAATGCGCACTCTCTCCCTGGAGGGACGCATCCTCCTTACCTAATTCCGGAAAGTATTAGGTGCAGGTTGGCAAGAGCCAAGACTTGGGGACCCCAGAGTGTGTGTTGGGGTACTGCTGATGTCTAACCAGGTAAAACAACATAGCTTTCCATTAATATTGCTTTCTGGCAAACTTTCCTGCTGCTTGTCCAGCTAGGGTCACCCTACCCATTCGGGCTTTGGTTTGCAGGGTTAACGGGAGCTGAGTGAGATGACTCCCTGCCCCCAGGTGACTGGTCTACCCTTCCAGGTCCTGCCAATGAGCCAGCCTGGCTGTGCTGTCATCAGCAGTGCCCTGGAATACAGTGGACCCGCCTGGCTCAGGAACCGGACTATTGAAACTGCCACTGAGGTCTGGCTCGATTCTGACAATCCATAGCCAGGTCTGTCACCTTGGAACCAGTTCAGCTCCAAGGAAACTCCACTTACCTCATGAACACAGTGGATAACATGAGGCTGAATGAGTCACAGCACTAGTTTAATCCTAGTGCTTGCCATGGTGACAATGGTCCTGTCTTCAGATGCACAAGAAACCAGACTGAATTGAATGAAAGGTGAATGGATCACTACACTGGTATGTATATTCAATAGCACATAATAGGAAACTTCTTAAGGGAATTTATTCACTGTTGGGATTATAATTTTGGGGGTGGGTGGAAAGGTTTAAAAAAAGCAATATTTGTGGAGGAAAAGGGAACAGGAAAAACAATGAACGAGGGGCAGACCATAAATCATTTCAATTAAAATCGGTTAACAGACACTGTCGCTGTTCTTAGCCAGGTTTTTTTCCCCCATGTTGTGCACACACCCATTGATGTGGCTTGTGCAGCAAGACATTGCAAGTCAGATTCATTTTATTCACCTGCTTTCTGTGGAACAATAATGATCACCTTTCAGGATTTTAAATGATGAACCATAACAATCCTTGCACTTGATATAGCAGCTTCAATGTTGAATTTTCTTAAAGCGTTTCACAGTCAATTGTTATGAAGTGTGGAGACAAGTGTAGTACTACATGTCGTATTTGTAACCAAATGCAAAATTATACATAGCAAGGTCCCACATACAGCTAAGAACCAAAGCACCTTGAGGCTGCTCATTACTATGAACTGCATAGTTCATATGAACTACACCATAAAATGCCTTAAAACACATGCAGACTCCCAGCTGTGATAATGCACAAGCCTAGAAATGAAGACAGACAAAGGGCATGTCACAGGCACACCTACCTTTTCATTCTGAGCAGCAAGGCTGCACTCACATTTACACCATCAAAATCAAATAAGTATGAATACGATTGCTTTAATATTCTTTGCACATTAGTCTGTGCACAACAAACAATGAGCATTTTGTTGAAATGTTCAGTAGCAAACGAGGAGTGCTTCAAAATGGATTCCGAACAGCTATTCCATATATAAAGATACACCTACAGTGATTCGCTTGCCTGAAGCTCTCACAAACTGGAATGTTTCACTTGACGCCAGACTACATCTCTAGGCTTGTCTGTGCTCAACCCTTCCGCTTCCTACGTTTTGTCCTCCACCTGATTATTTCTGCAGTGTTCTTTTTCTTCACAAGAAGAAGAAGCAAAAAAAAATCAGATCAGATCACAGGTAACTGGTTCTATGAACACTCGGACAAATGTGAAGCCACCCTTCGCTCGCTCGCCCACCCACCCACCTGCCCCCATGGACCAGTGCATCGTCACACACATGCACCGTTTCGGAAACTGGTGCCAAACGTGGAACGGGCTTTAAATCAGGTAAGATTTGCTGGTGTTCAATTGACAGGACAGAGATGACAGTGTGACTGATGTATGGAGATGCTTTCTGTCTCCCTTTCTCCCCACACCCTGCGCTGTGGCGCATGCGTCAGGAGGAAACAAAGGAAAGGAGCAGCTCTGCCCCACTGCAGTCTCCACACGTATGGCTTCAGCAATTGATGCTGAAATGCTATTCCACTGGGATTGTGCCTTGCTTCAGGTCGTAAAGGCTTCTAAGAGATGAGGCAATGAATGCATTTGAAGCCCCAACAACCCCCCCCCCCACCACCACCACCCCCACCCCTCAAAAAAAACTGAACCAACCAGTCAGTGAATCTGCAAAATCTGCAATAATTTCATTACAATGTGCATTCCGTTCCCCCCCCACCATCAAGAAAACAGATGATCTGTGCAGTTTCCCCCCACCCCCACCTTTAAGAAAACAGATGATCTGTGCACCCCCCCCAGGCAGGCAGCCAAGCACAATGTTTCCAGATGTGCTCGACCTGAAGGATGCTGATCCCTCACTGTACATTCTTTTATCGGGATGGTTTAAAACAAAACCCGCAGGTTTCAGCAAACCAGCCGTGTCGAGACGTCGCAGGCAAGTCAGTCAGTCTCTTCCTCGGCGGACCATCGCCATTGCAAACATTTGTGTATTCCCTGACAACATCACAAGGCAACCCGACTCCAGACTGCATCTCAAGGAATGGTCTCACAAAATAAGTCATGTTTCCCCATCACTACCACTCCCCACCCCCACCACCACCACTCCCCTCCCCACCCTCCCCCCCAAAAATTGTCCCAGGGTCTAAAATACACCCCCCCCCCCCACCCCACCCCCCCCAAAAAATAAAAGGGTTGAGATGTTTTAAAGAGGTTAAACAACATAGCAGAGTGGCTGTCAGTAATAATCCGGAATGGCTTCAGATACAATAGGGGGGGAAAAAAATAAGAGCATTATTTTGAGTCGATCAAACAGATTGGATCTGTTCGCATTATACGTTTGATAAGATATTTGGGATAAAACAAGACCAACATATGCTGCACCAACATATGCTGCACCCTGAAACAATGTTCCTCTCTCTCTCTCCCCCTCTTTCTTTCTTTCTTTCTTTCCTTCTTTCTTTCTCTCTCTCTCTCACCTCATCTGTGACAGACTGGACATTTCACTGGATCGACTTGTTGACCCTCACCCCACCCCACCCTTTCTTTCTTCTTTGGGATCATCATCACCATCACCACTACCACCACCACCACCATCATCTCACAATATCTTATGTAGGAAAAGCTGAATTTTTTTTTTTCATTTTTTTTATTTCTTTTCTTTGATTTGATTTATTTTTTTAAAAAAAACGAGACGTTTCAAACAGTAATCTGAAAGGAAAAGCCCAGAGACTCGCAGATCTCAAATAAGGAGTCGTGTGTGTGTGTGTGTGTGTGTGTGTAAAAAAACACACACCCACACACACACACACACCCACACACACATCCTCTGCACATCAAGAGTCTGGTCACTACAGCCCCACATACAACACAGAAATAACACAAGAATAAACACAGTCAAAGCAGGTCCTCTCCTCTCCTCTCCTCTCTCTGCACAATGTGTGTTCCCCCCACAAACAGCACAAGTCGTCGCTTTTTTTTTTGCTTTGAAGTGTTTTTTTCCTCTGTCTCTGTCTCTCTCTGTCTCTCTCTGTCTCGCACTCGCCCCAACAGCGGGAGCAATAAACTGCACATCGAGGGAGACACACCCACACCCACAAGATGTTAAATGCCCCCCTCACCCCCCCCCCCCCCACCCCCCAACACACACACCCCCACCCCCCAACACCCCCCCCCCCCCACACACACACACCCCACAGCACCCACCCACTCACCCCTCTCCCTCCCGTTATCCCTATCTTACCGGTTGCTCCGGTGGCTGTCTCTGCTGTGGCGGATCTCCCCGACAGTGAGTGAGTGAGTGAGTGTGTTAGTGGGTGAGTTGATTAGCTCAGGCTGTGCTGAGCTGGGTGTGCTGTGCTGGGCTGAGCTGGGTGTGCTGAGTGTGCTGTGCTGGGTGTGCTGAGCTGTGCTGAGTGTGCTGAGCTGTGTGTGCTGTGCTGGGCTGAGCTGTGTGAGCTGTGCTGGGCTGTGTGAGCTGTGCTGAGCTGTGTGTGCTGTGCTGTGTGAGCTGAGCTGTGTGAGCTGGGCTGTGTGAGCTGTGCTGAGCTGTGTGAGCTGTGCTGGGCTGTGTGAGCTGTGCTGGGCTGTGTGAGCTGTGCTGGGCTGTGTGAGCTGTGCTGAGCTGTGTGTGCTGTGCTGGGCTGTGTGAGCTGTGCTGAGCTGTGTGTGCTGTGCTGTGTGAGCTGAGCTGTGTGAGCTGAGCTGTGCTGTGTGAGCTGTGTGAGCTGTGCTGGGCTGTGTGTGCTGGACTGGGCTGTGTGAGCTGTGCTGGGCTGTGTGTGCTGTGTGAGCTGAGCTGTGTGAGCTGTGCTGGGCTGTGTGAGCTGTGCTGAGCTGTGTGAGCTGTGCTGGGCTGTGTGAGCTGTGCTGGGCTGTGTGAGCTGTGCTGGGCTGTGTGTGCTGTGTGTGCTGTGTGAGCTGTGCTGTGTGAGCTGAGCTGTGTGAGCTGTGTGTGCTGTGCTGGGCTGTGCTGGGCTGAGCTCCTCGCCTCCCTGCTAACTCGGTGGAGAGCTGACTGCACGCTGGCGCTCCTCTACTGCCGCTGCATTTCGCCTGAGTGTGGGCAGCAGCCGAGTCCAACCTTAACCCATTTGTAAAATAATATCCTTAGCTATAGGATGGCGCTGTGAGCGGGACTGGGATGGGACCACCATCACGTGCTCCATTTTGAGCACTTACACTTCCCAATTGGGGAAAAAAAACACAACACACAACACACAGACACACACACTATTTATTTTAGAGACGCTGTCGCTTTTTCCAGTCGTTTTGCTCGGAATAAAACCCCCCCGAGTGGCATTTTAACTGCACCCCTGACATCTTGTACCAGGCGGATGGATCAGGCTGTATAAACCAACTAACAAATGCAATGGATTTGCATTGCCGACCCCCCCCCCACCACCCCCCTACTCCCCACTCCCTCCTTTAATCCGAGCTCTGTGTTTCCATTCAACACGTTGTATTTTTCGAGTGTCAAAAAGCTGCAGCGAATTAATGCATTTCAATGCATTAAAATGCGCATCCGACGCTGTGGTCGTTTTTTTTAATATTGAGTGGACAGCAAACAAGGGGATACAACGAGAAATGCAAGAAAGACTGCTTTATTCCCCCCCCCCCCCCATTAACTTGTGTGCGTGTTAATTTCTGGGTGGTGGGGGGGGACGAACCTCTTGTCAAAATAAAGCAGCAGTGACTGCTGAACACACCCAATGTCTCTCGCCTGTCTGCACTGTGCAGTGTAACACTGCCAAAGCTCGAGCGCCCTCTGCAACACACTGTCGGAAAAGCCTTCGCTGACCAAACACTGCACCTGAAACCCAATGCTAACGATAATCATCATAATAATTCAGGCTTTTTAATGCAAAGATCACACACACTCACTCTCTCTCTCTCTCTCTCTTTCGATTTGCAAGATTTGACAGAGCCAGAACCCCCCCACACCCCATCCCACCCCACCCACACACACCCACCCACACCCACCCACACACACACACAGCTCTGCTTCGTCTTTCGTTTTACCCCTGACGTTTAGTTCCTTTGGATTTTTTTTTTTTGCAAAAAAGAAAAAGAACAAAAAGAAAGAACATAACTCACCAGAGTGCAATCGATCCGATGATGAACCGCGTGTTGTGTGGCTTTGGCGAGGAGGCAGAGGTTCGGCTGCAGCTTCGCTGGGTGAAGAGTTGGAGGGTTGTATTAGTTCCAGTGCAGGGTTTCGCTGCGAGTTCATCGCACGCCTGCTCCCTTGAGTTATGTGACCGATCGCAGATCTGTCCAATATTGCTATCTCTCAGGCTGAGCGGGTGGGGGGGGGGTGGGTTTCCTGCCTTGTTGCAATTGGAGGGGAATTGCACCGAGGCAGCAAGTTACCAGGCAACGAGCATGTGTGGACTGAGCAGAGATCAGCCCTCATCTCCCTGGAAACTCTTGTTTCCCCCCCTCCCTCCCTCCCCTCTCTCCTCTCCCCTCCCTCCTCTCCCCTCCTTCTGCAATCCTCCACACATCGCAAACGCAACGCGGTGACCAGTTTAGGAACACGTACCCTTTAGCACACAAACCGTTTCCAATCCAAGGCTCATCGAGTGCAACCAATTTTTTTTCTCATTGCACCCCTCCACCTGAGCCCCCTTCCACGCAGAACACTCTTGTTCCATTTATTTTGTGCTCAGACAAGAAGTGTCCCAAGAGTTAAATATTGAAATCGGTTGCATTGCAGGTGTCATTCACTCTGTAAATAAACAACAATAACAACAACAACAACAAGATTCCATTTATAAAGCGCCTTTCACGTCAGGAGGACGTCCCAAGGCGCTGCACAGTTGGGTCATGACCCGAGCAGGGGGGAAATGGTCAGGGTGAGGGAAGGGAGGGAGCGAGGAGGGGGGAAATGGTCAGGGTGAGGGGAGGGAAGGGAGGGAGCGAGGAGGGGGAAGAGAGTCGAGAGGGGAGCTGAAGGCACGGTCAAAGAGAAAGGTTTTGAGACCGGCCTTGAAGGAGGAAAGGGAGGAAGCGGCGAAGGCACTGGGGGATAGAGTTCCAGAGCCTGGGGGCTGAGAGGCTGAAGGCCCGACCACCAATGGTAGGGCGGTTGGGGCGGGGGACGTGGAGCAGACCAGAGCCAGAGGAACGGAGGGTACGGGCAGGTAGGTAGGGGGATAGTAGGTTGGAGCCCATACCTTGTTTTGAAAGAAAACCTCCTCTGACTACTCAGGTTAGTTTCAAGAACTGTGCAATGTTTTTCCCTTTTTATTTTTTTAAAAACGGATTCAGCACATT